CTTCTTGGATGTTGAGTTCAGGAGAGGTTGAAGAAGGGCAGTGCCAGAGACCACAATTACACAATCACATTGATCTTTTGTGTACTTTGTTTCCTGGAGGAGAAATTGTGAAATCCCAACATTTTTTTCTGAGTTAAAATGGAAGTTGAGATTTAGAGAAAAAAAAAAAAAATCATATTGGTTGTTTTCTTGTCTGTTTAAATATACCCCGGGGCTGGGGATTTAGCTCAGCGGCACAGTGCCTGCCTGGCAAGAGCAAGGTCATCAGTTCGATTCCCGGTACCGGAAATAAATAAATAAATAAATACATAAGTAAATAAATAAATAAATAAATATACCCTGACAGCCAAAACGAAAAGTTGTTGTCATATAAATAGAAAAGTTTTTTAAATGTTGTGAAACTTCATCTCTGTTGTTTTTAGACAGCTTTAAATCTACAAAGCCTGGTTGAGGTGGTGTCACAAGCATGTCGGTTTTGGGCAACGTCCACTAGGTGGCAGTATGTCAGAGCGTTTATTTTAACCTAGAATTGGCAGCAATTTCTTTAGCGGCCTCCAGTAGCTGAATTTTTTTTTGTCCTATTTTGAAGGGTTAAAGGGAATAATTTAGGCCTAAATTATTCTTATGTAAAAGCAAATGAATTTGTGGAAAAAGCTACTTGTTATCGTTTGATCATAAGCAAGTTCTTCATTCGTATCAATTTGCTTAGTGACTTACCGTAAATAATGATCATAGTTTGTAGAAAACAACAGGCAATTCTTTATGGCCTCTGCATGTACCAGGTGGTAAATAGATGGACTGTGGGAAGGTAGGTCTCTGATCTTCCCGGGCAAAATGTTAGGTTCCCTTGAAGACTTCCACAGTGGCTGGTGGCCAGGAGACGGTAGGGAGTGCTTTTGTGCAGCTTCCTCCCACTGAAAATTGCTTCTGGCCGCTGCTTCAGACTGTTTACTGGAAGATGTGTCAAAGCCAGTTGCACTTCTATGTGCAAATCTGAGTAATCTGGTAGTATAGGTAACATACGATTGCACTGTATCTTTTTCCAGAGAGTTAGCTAGCTGGTTTTTATTAGTGTAAGTTGGCTTAAAATAAAATAAAACACACGTAAAAAATTTAAAGCTCTATTTCATCTGAATAATTTGTTTAGGAAAAAGGAGTTACGATGCTCTTTGTAGTGTTTTCCCCAAATTAGATTATCGGAACTTTCTGAATTCAAACAAACAAAAATCAGAAGCAGTGCCTAAATGATAAGATTTGGAATACAGAATACTACAGATTTTTAAAATCTCTCATTAGCTTGAGAGACATAAAAGACAAATGTGGATGAAAATCAGTTTAAAAGTGAAGCTTAGGAAATAAATGGAATTGTCAGCTGGTATGAAATTTGGGTGTCCCTTCAGAAGGGTTTCTGTAATCTCAACAGTGAAAATACGAAGAGGCATTCAAGCAAGGTCCGTGCTTGGGATAAACACAGCAGCGCATCTGATCGGCGAGGAAATTACAGAGCAGAATGGCTCTGCTCCCACAGTGGACTCCGCAGTGTCCTCCTTGCAGGCACACTGCTCCTGCCCTTTGGGCCTGTAGGCCTTAGTGTGAGGGATTCACCAGTCAAGCCCAGAGCATGTCTTGGCCAGTTCTCAGGCAACTGTGTTTCTGAAGCGTCTGGAAAATCTGAGATCTTATTTCCTGGTGTTTTAAGTTCTTTCTGTCAGATCCCTAGTTCCCTGGAAGTTAGATGCTTGTCGAGGCATGCCTGCTTTTCAGAGTTACATCTTTGGGGAGGGAACCTGCTATCTAACAGTAGAGGTTCAACTTTGTTATGTGAGTCTATGTTCTCTTTCTGCCTCTGTTTCTCAGTCTGAAAAATGAGGCTGCGGGTAAGAGTCAAGTGAGATGATACAAGGAAAGCACTATACACAAGGAAAGCACAAGTGTAAAAAGGTCTTTACTATTCAGTACATGGAATAGAAATACAACTTGTGAGGATATAATAACCCTTTGACTAAGTGGGAGTGTCACCAACATTCACGGGAACACCACCTAACAGTAATGTTTCTCAACGCGTGCTGCATATCAGAATCATCCAGGAGCATCTTTTTTCTAGGCAGGGTCTTGCTATGTAGTTCAACCAGGCCTTAAGCTCACTTTGTAGCCCAGGCTGGCCTCAGACACACAGCAAAATCCTCCTGCCTCAGGCTCTCAAGTGCTGGGATTACAGGTTTGTGCCACCATGCCCTGCTAGGAGCATTTTTTAAAAAACAAAAAACTATCAAGTCAATAACAGACTAATTGAGTTAGACTTGCTGTGGGTAGGGCCAAGGCAAACCCAGAGCTTTGCCATAAGTGAAGCCAGGTTCCCTACTGGGGTGCATCAAGTTCTGCCCACAAAAGATTCATTTATAGTCTCCAAATCCAAAGATGCCCTAAAATACAGTGGTAGAAGAATATTGTGTCTATGATTTCATATCTATAACAATGACCTGAGAGTTCAAAAAGTTGGGGGGAGATACACATACTCAGAATACATTTTTTTTTTTTTTTTGGTAACCTGAGGCCATAGACAAAATGTCAGCTCCTTTTTTAACGCTAAAACTTGCCTGTAGAATTTTTGAGAAGAATTGCAGCTCTTGAATACCTGAGAGATAGAACATGAGAGCAGTGGTACTTCACTGACCCTGATGAGAGACTTAATTCAAGAACGTGATGCTCTTTGCCCTTTCCTTAGAAAAGGCACTGAGATGCTTCTGACAGGTGCTACTTACCAAATTTTCTTGTAACTAAATGGGACGAGGCAACTCTGACTTCGAATCCACTGATCAGATGAGCAAGCAAAATTTATTCCCAAGGGAGAGTGAGCAGACTTCCTCTGCCCATTTAGTAGTGACTGGGACCTGCTGCTGCTTTGGCCCGCATCTCAAGCTTCACCATAACACCCTCCTTTGCTTATCTGTGAATCTTTGCAGATGCCAAAGGAATTGCCATTCTTAAATGAGGTCCCAGGCCAGTAGCACCAGCTTACCTGTTAGAAATGCAATTCTTGAGTCCTGGCTCAGATCTCTGGGATCAGAAACTCTAGTCTGGCCCCCGTGAAGATTATCATACACATTCAGGTTTGAGAATCAGAGAGCAGGGACAAAAGCATGTTCCTTGCTTTTCTAGGTAAGGGTATTTGTATAGAAAATCATGAGATGGACATTGGTAAGCAAATGCCACACTTAGCTATGCTTTCATCTCCACTCCAGAGAGATAAGAGCTGTGGAGAAAATGAAGGAGTAGCCTCAAATCATTGAATTATTGTCTCCAAGGTTCCTATTCCAGTCTTTGAGAGATACTAATCAGGTAAAGGTATACTGTGTACATATAAATGTATCATGATATATACACAGTGGATGAAGATAAATTGTCTATATATAAATATATAAAGTTACATAAATATATATATATAAATATGAGCCCAAGTTGAGAAGTTTTAGAAATTGGGGCACCATCGAGAATCCAAAGGTCTTGAGAAAACACCTGGGAGACGATGTGAGTGGGAGAGGGGAAGAGAAGGGAGCCGGGTAGGATCACTGGATTGTTCAGTGCAAAATGGACCATGATCTACCTGGAATACCCTGCAAGTAATTCTCCTGGGGCCGTCCAGTGCTCTGGGTCTGGATGGGCAGAAGATAACTTTTGATGAGTCCCTAAGCTTTCTGACGAGGTCCTCCAGCTTGTGACTTTAGGACTTTGGAATAGTTAACTGAAGATGGTGATGTTGTGTCCTCCAAGGGTCATTAAAAATAGAGTAGAATCTCATCTCTCTTGGGAGTCCTGGAGGCAGATAAAAGAAAAAATGTTATCTCCAGAACCCTTCAAGCTCTTAATGGTTGAAATTATATTATTGCAACTATCTGCATCTATCTATCTATCATCTATCTATCTTTCTGTCTATCTGTCATCTGTCTATTGATTTCACAGCTCTCCTCTTCAGCTATGCAGAGAATTTAACTACATGGTCTACCTTTTAAACAGCATGGCATAGATGGTTAACATGAATGGTTGTCCAGTAACAGAGAAATTAGGAATCTTTCCAGTGTCCCCAGTATCTAGATATGTACTGGGTACACAGCTAAGTGCCAACCCGCATTTTCTTATTTAATCTTCTTAACCACCATCTGATAGAAATGCTGTTAAAATTCTGGGTTTAGGCAGAAATTTGAACTGCAGTGAAACCCTGAGCTTTCCCCACTCCACTTTATTATGTCTCCTGATGGTTCACTTTAACATTAGCTCATGTGTGGATGCAGGTGAGATGTGACTTACTTTTGGAACCTTCATCCTCAGGCTCAAATTGAGATATGCAATTACCTACACTCTATGTACTTATGTTCATTCTTTTTCTGGCTTGTGCTTCTAGACCTCTATTTGCAGCAATATTTTAAGTTAATTATTGGTACTCTAAAAGCTCTTAGACTCCCATATAGCACCTTAAATAGTATGACTTTAAAGTAAAAAATTAACCACTGGGAGCCAGGCATCATTTTCCTTCCTGTGGGCTGTGCCTCAGTGTTATAACAGAATTCACTAATGAAAGAGACGTAAAAACCGCCTCCCTGAAGTTTTAGGAGAGTCATATATTCTGTCTAATTGTTATTTTCCTGGTTAATGTCATCTCCATTTGTGTACCTACTACAAAATTCTAATTATATTCAATTATTTCATGTTTTATAATTGACCTTGTCTTTTATAATTTCTTCGGATTCTATAATTTCTTCCGATTCACCAGAGTTTGGTGGTATGTATGTGGTCAACTTTTAAGCATGTCGACATCCACTTCTTTGGGGTGAACTTCTTTTGATAGCTGCCTAGAACACCTAGGAATATTAATGCCCCTTCGTTTCTGGTATCTTTTGAAGGAAAAGGGTTAATTTAGTACCTGTGTAAAAGTCCTCAGTATCCTTAGTGCTTTTCAGAAGGAATGACTTTATAAATGAAATTGTTTCTCCTTTTTATTTCAGGAATTACAACATATTGTTGGGTCACAACACATCAGAGCAGAGAAAGGTAATCATGAATCTGTATGAATATTTGAAATCCTGGGAGTCACTAGTCTTTGGGCTGATGTGGTTTCTCTTATTTCTAGCAACAGTGGAAGGTTCATGGTTTGATCTGGTCAAGAGAGGCAAGCTGGAAACTCAACCTTTTGCTCACCTCACTATTAATGCCACCAATATCCCATCAGGTGAGTTCGATTTGTAACTAGCTTCAAAAATATTTCAAAAGTCCCTTAACAGTCCATTTAAATACTCAAGTCTATTACCATGCTGCTACTGAAGTTTTTGAGAGCTCTTACATCTAAACCAGAAGAAGAAAGATCATCAGTCTTCAGCTGATACACATCATGGAAACAGTGATTCTCAATCTTAAAACCACTAGATTCATTTTCAGATCAACACAGTGGGTGCTTGTTTTAAATAACTGCCAGGGGAACACAACTAGGAAGGACAATCCCTTGTTAAACTCATCTATTTTTACCCACACTAACGTGGACACTTCCCCACCACTGACAGCTAAAGTGGATGAGTTTATTTAGGCAGTCAGACAGTAAGCCCTCTCCTGTCAAATTCCAGGTAAGGGCTTAGCAGAATGATCTTTAAAAGACAATAGTCCTCTGGAAAATGAGACATCCTCCCCGGTCTCCAGCAGCTGATCATTTCCTGTGGGGAAGGGTTTAGTTCAGTAGACTAGAGACCTGATTACCTTTGGAGAACAAGGGGACACAGAGCTCTAGGTCTGAGGTCATCTTAATGTGTCAGGTCTACCTTAGACAGCCTTAGACAAAATCTTGGGCTAGGTGAGGATCCAAAAAATTATAACAAATATTCAGGATAGAGTGATGACTGAACATTATTGTCATTATGATGTGGCTTATTAAATATCTACTGTGGATCAGGCATTTTGCTCTATATTCATTATCACTAGATAGTTATTCACATTTTGCAGATGGTGAAAGAAAGGTTTCTATCACTTATCATTTGTTCAAGATCACTGTGGTGGCAGTATTATAAGTTGAATTCTAATTTGGTTAATTCCCAAATCTAAGCTTTGTATGCTTCTATTACCCTATAAACAGGCTAGTAGGTGGCATGGGGTAAGTTGGCTTTTTAAGTGGGAAATAATTCAAAGCTTTTATATTTTTTCCTCTAAGAGGTAAATTAGTAGAGTGTCTAATGACAGGGGCTCTACAATCTGTCTGTTACTTTAGTACTTTGTGGCTGTGTGGCCTTGTACAGGTTACAAGGCCTCCACCTCACCATGTCTAAGAGGAGAATGGTGATAGTGCCTTCCTGTGTGGTAGCAGCAAAGACCAAGGCAGGTCATGTACTAGCGTTCTTGCATGGATGGTGGCTTATGGCAAGCACTCAGAGTAAGATTTATTACTGGCATTTGAACTTCACTAAGTAATCATACATATTCCACTTCATTTTACAAACAGCTTAAGGCAGGTTTTATTTTGAGTTAAAAATAAGCCAAATTTTAATAAATGTTTTCAGAGCCATTGTCAGCATGGGCTGTGGAGGTGTTTGTTTGTGTTTCCTGATTGAAAACATGTAGATTGAGAAACCAACTCTTGGGTTTTTGAAGAATTTTCTAAACTATCTATCCTATCCCAGATATTTGCCTCATAAACAAATTTTCTCTGTCTGTGTATGCCTTATGGCAAAGCTATACACATTTTCTCTGAGTAGAAAACTACTTTGCATGGTAGCAAAGGCAATCAAATTAATACCAATGCATCAGCTGCGTACACTATTACTGCACCCGACATTTATCTTTTCAGTTCACTTTAAATGGTGTATGATAAATATTGCATTAGACTGTGTGCCAAAGTCTGTTTGGCAAGAGCAAGCATGTTTTAGTTATAAAGCTCTCTCTGCAGGCACCTAGAATCAAATCATTGCCAAAAAACAAGGCAAAACCCCTGGTTATTTCCCGACAGTTACTGGGTTTGTGACTCAGAAATGAGTTAGTGTATGCTTCTGTTTAAGAAAATAGAACTGGGCCAACAGCCTCTTGAGCACAGTCTCCCATGGTGACCAGTGTTTGGATACATCAGAGGAAGGTAGCTTTAATTTTGCATTTTCATGTATTGAGGCTCTATTTTATGTTAACCTACACATAACAAAGCAGAATGTGCCTTATACAGACAGTTACTTTGTGCCTTTTCAAAGCTTTTTAAATGAAATGCATTGAGAGCTATTTTAGGGGGTCAGAACATACAGCTTTCTTTACAGAGATGCTCAAAATAAGTAATTACAGAGGTCTCTTCTCTGATTTCTAAAGCCGGGACCATAGCACAGTGTGAAGGAGGCTGTGCAGACTGCATAAGAGGGCCGCGGCCTGGCTCACTGGTAGTGGAAACCCAGCTGCCACGTCAGTGCTTCAGCCAGATCACAGCATGCTTTTCTTGTCTGTTCTGGTGCTGCTGTTTAGTTATGCATTCTCCAGTCACACAGTTCAGCTTTCCCACTGCTCTCCTGGGAGTGCCACATGCAGTTCATTCCTTCTGCAGTGCTCTCCCTTTTCTGAGTGTCCGAATTTGACATACATCCTCTTCATTCTCTGGCTCTTCTGTCCCCTCGTGGGGTCTAACTCTCCTGAATTTGGTAGTTGATCGGCAGTTTCTTGTTACTGAGTGTCAACCAAGTCATATCATCATGTGAAAATGAAAATGCTCTGCTTTATATGCATATTTCTGATGCTCTCCAGTCTTCATGGTATCATGAGGCTACACTGCTTAATACAGTTCTTAATCATGGGGATGGTCAATGTCCTTAGAAAGCACCACACCCGTGTTTTATGCCACATGAGCAGAATGAATGAGTGAATACATGAGTAAATGAATGGATAAAAACAGAGAGATGCTTCACAGGAAATAAAGACACTTCTTCCACACAACTTGCCTAGCTACAGGAGTAGAATTCAGTGAGTTCCCGTGTCCTCCCCTCTCTATTTTGTGTCCTTTTCTGGCCTGCCCTGGCCACATGTTGCTCTAACATGAGCAGATCATTCCATTTAAAGGTACTCATTCTGCATCTGCCTGTTAAGACGTAATGATAAGACAATTAATTGAATGAAATGAAGGATTGAATACAGCACAGCAGTAGAGTAAGAAGGAGCACAACATACAACCTGAGATGGGAAGCATCTTTAATTTCGTTAGCTTTGTCCGTGGGTTAGGTAACTGTTCAGCAGCCTGGAGTGAACAGGGTCTTGTAGCCTCATGCTATCTTTTTTGGCGTTTTGTTCTTATTTTTGTTTTGGTGGTGGTGGTACTGGTGGCGCTGAGCATTGACTCAGGGCCTCATATACACAGTGATGCCTTGGTTTATGAATTCAGTTCTCTCCATAATTGTGGTCACAAGCAGGACTGGATAAGAACTGAATCAAATTTTTTGATAAAGTCACCATTGAACCTAACCACTGAATTTGATTCTGATTTCATCTGACTCAGTTTGTGACCAGAATCGTAGACAAAATAGTTCATAAACCAAGGTACCACTGGTATTAGGCAAGTGCTATAAGAATGAGCTATATTACCAGCCCTTTGTTATCATCAATATTTATTTTTATTTTTTTAAATTTATTTTAAAAATAAAAGAATGAAAACGTATTAACAAACAGACATCCATTTATGAAATAATACAAGAACAAAACAAGCAATACTGAATTACAGACAAAGTGATAGGACATTAACAATGGTTGTTGTGTTACATACTGATATCTCCAAAGTGGTTTCTCAGGAAAACAAACACAGACACAAAAGATTGATCAAATAATTAATCATTAACTATTCCTTTCAGTAAAGCCATAGCAGTCAGTAGTACAACTATGTTAGCTGCCCTGTATATACATACATACATACATAATTTCCCCTTCTTTCTTTTCTCTTTTCCCTCATATCAGTTGCTCTTTACTTTTGAGCGTTTCCTTTCATTTCACAATGTCTATCATAACTCCTAATTTTTATTCACTCTTTCAGGTTCTTACACTCTTGAAACAATATGTTGCTTACACATAGAGGTCTGATTTATTTCACTTATGAGTATGGTCTCTAGTTATGACCATTTACCTGTAAAAGCCTCGAGTTTATCTCTCTTTATAGCTGAGTAATATTCCATTATATAAAAAGTACCACAATTTTTTTATCTATTCCTCCGTAGATGGACATTTGGGTTACTTCCACAATTTAGCAATTACACATTGTGCTGCTATAAATATGGGTGCACGTATATCGCTGTGATATGATGCTTTCAGATCTTCTTGGAAAATACTCAGAAGGGGAATAGCTGGGTTGAATGGGACTTCTAGACCTAGTTTTGTGAGGAATCTCCTGACTGATTTCCACAGTGGTTTCACCAGTCTGCATTCCCACCAGCAGTGGAGGAGAGTTCCTATTTTTCCACAGCCTAGCCAGCATTTGTTCTTGGTTGATTTCTTAATGCTAGCCATTCTTACTGGGGTGAGATGAAATCTCAGTGTTGTTTTAATTTGCATTACTCTAATGACTAATGATGTTGAACATTTTCTCATGCATTTATTTGCCATTTGTGTTTCTCTTTTTATTTTAAAAAATAAAAGAAGGAAACATATTAACAAACACACATCCATTTACAAAATAGCATAAGAACAATACAAACAAAACAGAGTTACAGACAAAGTTGTAGGAAATTAACCATGGTTGTTGTATTACTTATTAATATCTTCAAAGTGGTTTCTCAGGAAAACAAATAGAGATTGATCAAACAAGTAATCATTAACTGTTCCTTTCTGTAGAGCAATACAGTAGTACAACTATGTTAGCTATCCTGTATATACATACTTACCTAATTTCCTCTTCTTTCCCTTCTTCGTTTCCCACACCCCGGTTGTGCTTTACTTGTGAGCATTTTTCTTTCATTTCACAATATCTGTCATACCTGCTCATTTTTATTCACTCTTTCAGGTCTTACATGAGACAATACAATGCTTATACATGCAGGTATGATTTATTTCACTTATGAGTGCCACTTGTATTTCTTTATCTGAGAAGTGTGTACTCATCTCAGTTGCCCATTTTTGGATTGGGTCTTTGAATTTGGGGGGACTGATATTTTTAATTCTTTGTAAGTTCTAGATAGAAGCCCTTTGTCTGAGTGACAGTCAGCTAAAATTTTTTCCAAGTTGTGGGTTTTCTTTTTACTCTGCTGATGATTTCTTTAGATGTGCAAAAACTTTTTGGTATGATGAGATTCCAGTTGTTGATTCTTTGAAGTATCTCGCATGCAGTTTGGTTTTTGTTCATGAACTCTCTGCCTACCCCTATGTCTTCAAGGTTTCTAACCTACTTTCTCTTCCAATAGATTTAATGTTTCTGGTTTAATATTGAGATCTGTGAACCATTTTGACTTGAGTTTGGTACATGGTGATAGGCTTGGGTCTATTTTCAGTCTTTGGCAGGTAGCAAGCCACATTTTCCAGCACGATTTATTAAAGAGGCCATCGTTCTTCCAGTGAGTTTGTTTGACCCCTTTATCAAAATTAGGTGGCTGGATGTGTTTTTGGTTGTGGCTGTTTCTTCCAGTCTGTTCTATTGACCTCAGGTCTTTTTTTAGCTCGGAAATCAATAGCATTCCTATACATAAACAACAAACAGACTGAGAGAGAAATTGAGGAAAACAGACTTTTCACAATAGCATCCACGGAATTGATATATTTAGGAATCAATCTAACAAAAGAAGTAAAAGATCTATTCAATGAAAACTACAGTACTCTGAAAAAGAGATTGAAGAAGATTTCAGTAAATGGAAAAACATTCCTTGCTTAAGAACTAACATTGTGAAAATGGCCATACTGCCAAAATTATTGTACAGATTCAATGCAATTCCCATTAAACTACCATTTGCATACCTCACAGATCTAGAGAAAACATTCCTTAAATTCATCTGGAAGCAGAAGAGACCCAGAATAGCAAAAGCAATCCTGGGCAACAGAGACAAGTCAGGTGGAATCACCATCTGTGACCTGAAATTATACTACAAAGCTACTGCAACAAAATCATCAACTTTTTAAAGATCAGTAAGATATACTAAAGATCTGAAATATGAAAAGCATTGGACATGTTGTTGATCTAGAATATTCTTTTTTTTTATCTTGAGGTTAAAAGCAGAATTTACTGAAGGAAAGAAAGCTTCTGTCCGAGAGAGGGGCAGAAGGGGGTCCGAGTGGGTTTCCCAGGGTGATTTAGAATATTCTTTAGAAACTTTCACTGCTCCAGAAACATTAGTATGAGGATCAATTATCATCTTATTTGAGGAGTGAGAAGAAATTAAATGAAAATTTGGTCATTCCAGAAGGATTTTCTTCTGGACTTTGTGTGAAGTTGTTAAGATGGATAGTGCAAAGCTGAGAATGTTTTGTTTTTCAGTTTGTCTGAGGATAGTTTTTCAGCTGTGTGAACCTGGAGACATGTGAGCTATTGGAGTTGACGGTGATAAAACTCAAGTTTTGGAGGTTGGCCATTTGCCCAAAGTTACTTTGACCCAGATTTCCATCTCCTTCCACATATTCCTTTTCATGGAACAAAAGAGAAGGCTGAGACATGGGAAGCATGGAAAGTCTTTTCCTATATTAATTTCTGGCTTTTTTGTCTCATGTGGCTTTGGCTAATTCTCCCTTAGCCTGGAATGGTCTTTCTGCTTCTGTGTGGCTGAATCCTATTCCTTTTTTGAAGTTCTCAAGCTTAATAGCAACCGAACAAAATCTGTCTGAGTGGAAATAATCCTTTTCTATTTTGAATTTCCAAAGCAATGATGTACACAGGTCCTTTCAGTGCTCTGCTGATGATCTGAATGCATCTAGTACCAATCCCCAGTGTACTGTAGCTTCCTGAGGAGCAGGAAGAGGGAATTCTTGTCTTTGTACCTTCAAATGTGCCTCAGTAAACATATCTGAATGTATAGATGTGCATTTCAAGAAGTTACTCTCCATTGGAATAATGACTACTGTTCTGCTGTCCCCTACTAACCTCATGGAATGGTTAGAATGTTCTTCTCATTGAAAGAGTGAATTTTAAATCACATGCCTCTCCTCTCCACAGGTTCCCACAAAGTTAGTCTGTCCTCTTGGTACCATGACCGGGGTTGGGCCAAGATCTCCAATATGACTTTGAGCAATGGAAAACTAATGGTTAATCAAGATGGCTTTTATTACCTGTATGCCAATATTTGTTTTCGACACCATGAAACATCGGGAGACTTAGCTACAAAGTATCTTCAGCTCATGGTATACGTCACAAAAACCAGCATCAAAATTCCGAGTTCTCATACTCTGATGAAAGGAGGAAGCACCAAATACTGGTCAGGGAATTCTGAATTCCATTTTTATTCCATAAATGTTGGGGGATTTTTTAAACTACGATCTGGTGAGGAAATAAGCATTGAAGTGTCCAACCCTTCCCTGCTTGATCCAGACCAAGATGCAACTTACTTTGGGGCTTTCAAAGTGCGTGACATAGACTGAGACCCACTTTGTGGAGCTTTACTGTGCATTTCCTAGATGTTTGGAAATTTTGTTTTAGACAAGCCAAGAGAGATGTACATAGGGGTTTAAGACTGCTAAGAGGCATGGCCCATGATGGTACAAAATTCATCTGTTCTCTTGAGCTTGTTCAGAGCTTGCATACTTACAGTCAGTGAGGGATGCATTACACAGTGGTTTTACAGTTTTATAATGAACTCCCAGGATTAAGCCAGACTGGAACAAGTATGACTGCCCTCATGAAAATCAGCATCTGGGCCATGAGAGGGGTTACTTCTCTGGGCAGTGGTTCTGTGTCACTCTGCCCTTCAGGTGGAGGATGTCACTGCACTGCAAATGAATGATCATCTAAAGGGTTAAGTTCTTGTGAGTTGTTGCACCATTCTGGAACTTGCAAACAAATATTTTTTCTAATGAGAAGAGAAAATAATATGTATTTTTATATAATATCTAAATTTATATTTCAGATGTAATGTTTTCTTTGTGAAGTATTATAAATTATATTTGTGCTATAGTATTTGATTCAAAGTATTTAAAAATGTCTCACTGTTGACATATTTAATGTTTTAAATGTACAGACATATTTAACTGGTGCACTTTGTAAATTCCCTAAGGAAAACTTGCAGCTAAGGAGGGAAAATGCTATGTCCTAATATCAAATGCAGCATATTTCTTCATTCTTTTTAACTTAATAGATTTTCAGAATTGTGAAGCCTGTGCAAAAAATAAATAAATAAATAAATAAATAAATAAATAAATAAATGGATGCCTTGAAAAGCAAGCAAGATGTTGGCCACCAGGTGCCTTTCAAATTTAGAAACTAATTGACTTTAGAAAGCTGACATTACCAAAAGGGATACATAATAGGCTACTGAAACCTACCAGGAGTATTTATATAATTGTGGAACAGGTGTTTTTTCTACAAGTGCTGCAAATTGTAAATTTTTTTAAATAGAAAATTTACTAGTGGTAGCAAAAACAATCCAATTTTTAATTTAGTAAGAAGTTATTTTATACTGTACAATAAAAGTTTTGCCTTTGAATGTTAATTTTTTTTGGTACAGAAATAAATTTTTATGAAACATGCCTTGTGATTTTGTACTTGCCATTCATGTCTGTCTTGCTCTATGATACTGCTCTTTCCAATTTGAAAATGTAGCTTCTGTCTTTTTTCCAAAGATTACTGGGATAAATGCAGATTTAATTAAAAACTAGGAACAGATTCAATTAAATTAATGAACATTGGAATTTGAAAAATAATTTGCAAGGGATTTGTATGCAAGGATGTAGCCAGGTAGAAGACAGATGTTCTCACTCAGAAAAGTTTATATTATGTTTACATTACAAAAAAAAAAAGAAGAAAACCATTTCTCTTGGAGGAATACCTGCACATTTTCACTTACCATAGAAAGGAAGGACAACGAGTGGCCTGGCCTTCTGTCCTCTTCAGAATTTATGTGGGTGAGTTGTCTAACCCAGGCTGGCCTCTTGTGTGAAGGAGATTTGAGAAAACAAGCAGCTTGGGAAGACACAGGAGGCCATCATTTAGGGCACTTGCCACTTGTGGATGAATGGTCCTTGGTGGTTTTGACAAGGTAGAAGGAGAGAAAGAATAGCGAATGCTGTAAACAAGAAATTGTAAATGATAAACAGCAGAGCTGTAAAGGTAGGGGATTCAATCATTGGCCAAAATACTATACCTATTATTTTTTTAAAACATTAGTAAATGGGAGGTAGGCTGGAGCAAAGTATGGATATACCAGTGCCAAACTTGAAGTTACCTGTCATCTTAAATCAGTTTTTACACCTACATAGTCCCATTGTCCTTGTATCTTTCCAAAGCACTGTTGTCAGTGGTTCTTGTTTAGTATTCTGCTTTCCTTTGTTTTTCCTTGTGTCTCATTCACCCCCATTAAGTCATCTTTAAAAATACCTAGAGATGATCTATTTCCTCCATGACTTTGGTGCAAAGCTGAGCATCTCATGCCTTGTGTTTTCTCTTTCTGTGCCTGGGTGTTGACTTGGGTTGAGATAATGGCAGGAGGTTATCCTTGTACTTTGAGTGAAACAACTTTTGCTCAATGGGCAACCCTACTTTTAGCTTACAGAGTGATGAGGGGCACACAAAGCATGTATTTACTTCACTTTTGGCTTTGTTAATTGATTATCCAGATTCCTAGCTATGAAATTGAAATATGTTTCTAGATAGTTGCATTTATAAATACTAATTAGTTATTGATTCACAATATTATGATTTAACCTTGCATCACTTTTTATAATAAAAAGGTATGCACACAGTGTTAGGTTTTAGCTGTAAAACAAAACTATCCTTTTGGTTAATAACATTTTTATAATACTTTTACTTTTCTATTCTTCTAACTTAAGTATTCTGTTTTTTAGTCATCTTTTATCCCCTCCCCTCTTCCCTTTCTTGTTGACAGACTGTCTTTGCAAGGTATACCAGTATTGCATCTTGACCAGTATTTTATTTGTAACAGGAATTCAGTGTTCAAGGACGTAAGGTAGATGTGCCAATTTAAGCAGAGTGTGAATTAGCTCTTGCACCCTCTTTTTGTTCTACCCAAACCCTCAGTGGATTGTGTGATGCCCACCCACATTGATGAGAGTATTCAAATGCTAGCCTCTTCTAGAAACACCCCAATAGAAATAATGTTTTACCATCTGTCTGGGCATCTCTTAACCCCATCAAGATGACACATAAAGTTAGCAGGAGAAAGCAACCCCTGAGAACATCAGATATGTACCAAGAAATTTCAAGCAACTTCCATTCCCCTCTCTCTTTCAAAGCTGTCAACGTAGGTGACTCATCTAGGAGGGAATATGAGTAAAGGATGTTTGGCACCTGGGAACTGAACAAGATTGTGACTTAGGCATGAGAGTCCACTGCATTCGGGCATGAGAGCTACTAGTGCAGGCATGATCCCAGTGTATGGTAAACAGAAGAAGAACAGCAATTCAGCTCTGGAGGAAGACTGGCAGGGTCCCTGGAAGTGGGACAGACTTCCAATGGTGGGGAGTATGGGGAGCACCTCTCCTGTCAAGGTACTAGGGAGGCCCCAGGTATAAGAAGAAACCCCAGGTGCCCATGGTCCCTGAGCAGAAGGGCTAGACAGCCAGACAGGCAGGCTTTTCTGCAGAGTAGGTTGTGGAAAGTTCTGTGGAAGCCTGTCCTTGACACTCCAAAAAGTTATTACCCTTCATATTATTTTTCTGGGTCTGCACAACAAAACGCCACAATCTTTGAGAAGTAAAATAACATAAAATGGTATTTTCTCAGTTTTGGAGTCAGAAGTCTAAAAGCAAGGCATTGGCAGGGCCGTGTTTCCTCTAGAAAAGTCCTTTGCTCCTTCAGGGTTCTGGCAGCACTAAGATTTCCTTGCAGCTGTCCCACTCCAGTCTCTGCTTCTGTCTTTCATGTCGTTCTTCACTTCTCTCTGTGTGTTTTCTGTTCTTGTTTCTTATAAGAACACTTCTTGTTGACTTTAAGGTCTATCCTGATAAAGCAGGATGAGTTCATCTCAAGATTCTTAACTATATCATTATATTATTAAATTCTATTTTGCAATATATTTTATAATTGCATTAATTATAATAAATTATAATTAAATTATATTTTAAATAAAATCATATTTATAAAGTGTAGGGTTTAGGACAGACATATCTTTCTGAGGGCCACCATTCTGGGCAGCATACTCTCCACAAGATCGTGTCTCAATCTCAGCTGTTTTGGGGCCAGTCACTTGCTATCCCCCCATTTGGCACCATAGCTCCTGGGGAGGAAGAGACCGAGATTGGGAAAATTAATGAGTAAAATATAGAATGTTACAAGTGCTTAAATCTGTAAATTTCAAAAAAAAATTTTGAACAGTGGAGATGAATCCCACTGGGGTAAATAAACATAAGCAAGTTACTGTGTTAGAGGGGAAAGACTAGAAAGGTTTTCTTTTCAGAATTTCCCTACTGTTGTTACCCTGCCATTGAATTCAATAGTAAAGAGCACTGAAACTGGTCTTTTCAATAGAGAAAAGAGATTGCAGTACTGTATTTACTGGTAAGTGAATCTAGGCTCAGACCTGTGAGCCTGGGTGCTTTTGAAATGGACTGCCCTGGGGGTTTGAGGTAAAGCACATCAGCTGGAGGAAGGAGGAGCCAGTGGTTTAGAAGAGAAAGAAGTGACTTCTCCCCAAGAGCTGTCTTTTACTATTCACAGCCATTGATGGGGATTGTATAAGGAACTAAGGCCTAAAAATCCCTCCAAAAACCAGGCTTAACATCCAGATTCCCAACATATCCTCTTAACCTTGTCTTCTCCCCATTTGTAGTGGTTGACTGATTATGTCAACTTGAGAAGTATAGAAGCATAATTAAACTTGGTTCAGCAATTGGCCAGCAATTCTATACCCTAGGGTATAGAGGAGCCACCCTAGGGTGGATCATCACCTAGATAATATAAAAGGGACATAAAGAAGGACAGAGGTACTTCCATTACTTTTGGAGGCACTCCAGTCTTCACCTTCAGCTTGGACTTGTCACCTGGCTTCTAGTGCAGACTCTTCGACTTCCACCTTGGATCCTTCAGCCTTCCATCACAGACTCATCGGCCTCCTGGTACGGACTTGCACGGAACTCTGCAGTGAGCTCCAAACCTTGGACTGATTCCTTTGGTCTTCAGTGTGCAGACACCCTCTACATACTTCCCCATATAACTCTCTGGCTGACCATTGTAAGCCAATCTTGTAATTTCTTATAATTTGTATATCCTGTGTTATATCTGTTTCTCCAGTAAAACCCTGACTGATACACCATTCTTCCTGAGTCTAGAAGACAAGAAGAGGAAGCAGGGCAGTTTGAAAAAAGGTGACTGTTTTTCTGAATGCCTTAAATCTAAGAGTCTCAGAATTAATTTTTTAAGATAACTTGACAACCTGATTTTTGCCACTGACAAAGAATAACCATGGCAGACAGAGATAAATTAATCAAAATGTTCCTTGAGCATGTGAACTACTCTGGTAAAGATAGTATCTTTGAGGGATGGCTATTTAATCATGTATGTTTTTAATGGATTGTTAAAAGGAACTTAAAGTCAGGTGTATATTTTTGTGTGTGTGATATAAAAAAAATGTGAGAACAGCATCATTTCCAAATAGAAACCTTGGTTTCCCGAAGCCTGACATAACCATTCATAGAAGTGCAGCCCAGCCCAGCAGCATCCATAGAAGTGCAGCCCTACAATGTCTGCAGTGCATTCTCTGGCCTGAGAAGAGGGTTAAGCTACTGGCTGAAAAGCACTATGAGAATTTGTATTTTTCATCAATAGATGCTGGCTAAAAGGAGTACATTAGTTAGGGTTCCCCAGAGGGACAGAACCAATAGAATTTATCTACTATCTATCATATATATCTATCTCTATATCTATCTATCATCTATTATCTATCTATCAATCA